AATATCTTCTGAAGGAACAAAGGTGTCCAAGTATAGGTATGCAAGTGGTACACCATAGCCACCATTGTTAATTACTATGGCAAAAAGCTTGAAATGTTCTTGGTTTGTCTTGAATGTTGAATTGATAATAAATTCAGTAATATTACTTCTCCCAATAAGTTGTAAAAATGGTGCAGTAAATCCAAGAGCTCTTACAAAATCATTTTCAAGGTAATAGACTACCTTATAATTTTCATTTTCTTGTATACTTTGTTCAATAGAATTCTTTGAGGACACGAGCTGATTTTTACAATGACAGTTTTACTACCCAATAATACACTTGTTGATAAGTATGTATTTTTGGATCAATTAATCTAAGCAAAGATAGTCTCCTGTAAATTCAACCTTTCGCAAGCCATAATTAAGATTTGTTTCTATCCAAGCCACAGCTTCTGGTGGAATATTATTATTGTCAGTTGGCCGAAAACCTTAGCATGGCTTCATCTTAACGAGTTTGCCTTGTATATTAACATCAGTATCTCTTTCTTTTCATGTGGTTCTTTTTAATGGTAGTTGCAGGTGGGGTAGGAAGTGACAATGTCATGCTAGGAACAGGATATTCTCTTGTGCGATCCACTGAACAATTTACGCACCGCCAAGCTGATTCTCTGCACTCTTTTTTTTTCAGTGTTGTAAAGCACATAGGAATTATGTCAAGATTTTGTGGCCGCTTTACCTGACCTGCAGACTTGTAAGCTCTATGGGTTGGCTTTGGATGACTATGCTGATGACTGATTGATACTACTGCTCTCTTCCTCTGATGATCAATTTTCATTGCAATACTACCATTACATGGATAGCATTCCATTGCTGGTCTTACTTCCTGCTCACACTTGGTTGATTCATTATCAGGCCTGGCATGTTTGCATTCCTCTCTCTGCATAGACAGTGACTTCTCCTGTCAGTTCTCTGAGTTTTTTGTGGATGTGCATATTACGATTTCCCAATAATATTCTGACCCATTTTCTGAAGATGCTTGGTGCTATTACCAATTCCGAATCTTGACAGTCAATCAATACTAATTTCGTCATCAAGTTCTATTTCCAAGCTAAAACTTATTGGATTATGGATATCGGTAAATTGGCTTTATCGCAGCTTCCATGTCCGCAACGTTATAAATGAGACCATCCGAATTATCTTCGCCGTTTTTTTCAAACGCTAGGGCTATCTACAAGTGTCCCCAGATCAAGAAAAGAAGACAGAGAACGTGCGGTGAGGTTCATGTTCAACTTCTGTATCGATCAGAGAATTAATTCTTTCTAAATCCTTCAATAGAACTTGGCTCGGATCGTTGTCGCTTTGCATTCCTCGAACCAAAATTACATATGGAAAAGGCTTGCGTCCTCTGACCTCTAGTTCTCACGAAATCAATAGTCTGTCTGAACGTCTTGCATTTGGAACAATATTTAGTTTCTCCCGTTGCGATGGTACTAACATCTAAGTGCATCATAATATTCACAAAAAAAACTCGGCCCAAAATTTGGCTGCCACCAGATCTCATTGGTGCACCAGCCAAATTCAATATTAATATGATCGTCGATCGATTTGGGGGTGGATAGATTTTTAAATGCCGCACACCAGTGGCATTTTTCAAGGAATTTAACTACAAATTGACTTCTACCATTAGCATGGTCCTCGCCAACCACGCCAACCCCAGGCTTGCTAATATCCACCAACATTATATGCAAGGCAAATATAAGAAAGGAATAATCGGTGCTTATTTTTCTAGTTCATCTGAATCTACCATGGAAAAAGAAAAGGTTTTGTTGAACATATTTTTGTCCCCGATTTTGTTGCGTCCGAGCTTGTTATCCTGACTTCCTTGTAGAATTCGGTCGACAAAGCCCTAAGTAAAAAGACAGGCTATGCAATTCGGTGTCGGATTGACAATCTTCTTCCACAAAACAACACATAACCAGTAACAACGCTGCTCAGTCACAAGGTAATAATTTCTGTCTTTGATCTGTTATAATGGAACATTCTGAATGAAATTCTTTGTGGGTAAAGCAAATCAAACGAGTGAGAGCTCCAAAGGGAAAGAAGAGATCAAGGTCAAAGAGTGAGTTAATTACTAGTTTGCCTTCATGAGATATCACTAATACAATTCTCTGAGGTTAGAAACGAAGGGACGATACCATACCGGATGACACAGATAGTGGTGAGCCAGCATTCCGCGGACAGGATCAGATCTTTCAGTCGATTGGAAAATGTGTCAAAACCGTTATCCCTAGAACATAAAACAAAATAAGGTGTGAACTCTAAAGGTGGGACTGGATAGAGCCTCACAGTCGGACAGATGACCCATGCTGGAGCCCATGCCTAGGACAAGACTCGCAATTATTGGTAATCTTGTTCCCACTGCAGTGCGGTCTTCACATCAATTCAGAGTACTACCCATAAACTCTCAATACTTGTCTCAAAAAGGGACTGGATAGCACATACTGGAGCCTCACGGTCAGGCAGATGACCCATGCTGGAATCTCATGCCCAGGACAAGACTTGCAATTATTGGGGTCTTGTTCCCATCGCAGTGCGATCTTCAACTTCAGAGAGCACATAGAAGAGAGTTCTGTTGAATTTACCCTATGCTCCCTGTGGATAGTTTCAAAAAGGTTTTGTGTCTCTGGCTTGGTTGGTCTGCTTGTTCAGTAGTTGTTATTGTTGCTGCTTATTCAAATAGCTGAGGTAATTGGGCCAACCCAAACTTGGAGCATTTCGGAAGAAGTCTTCTACTGTCTTAAAGTATGTTATTTCCTGCAACCAATAGGTTTCAGTATCTTATCTCAGTCATTTGTCTAAGGGGGAGAGCAAGCTATACCTGATTGTCCGTATTCTTCAGAGAGAGAGAGAGACGTGTAGTGACATTTAGCACGCGTGCTTATATTTACTAATAAATCTCTTACCAAAAATCGTGTATTGAACAAGCGAAATGTGTCCTTTCAGAGCTTTTTTCATTGTCGAATTTTTTTTGGCAAGTTGATTCCCGCAAAGAGTTTGGTACACGAAATAATATCAATTAAATATGAAGGCGGAGAAGTAATGGATGATGTTGTTTTGCAGGAAGAGGTCTAGGTCAGTTGATGGTAAATCAGATTGTTTGGGATTACGTTCAACGAAACTGGAAACGAGGTTATTGTCACGGCTCGCAATGAGTCATGTTCACAGATCGGCGGTGAATTTTTGTCACTGTCGCGTCAATCAAGACAACTTAATTTCCAGCGACTCTTATTATTATTTATTTCAATTAATCTAAAAGGAGTCTTCTAATTTAATGCTTTTCTTATCAATTTTAACTGGAATATCAAACTCAATTGCCGATAAATATAATTTTAAAGCTCAAATGTGTGTGTAATTATCGAGACGCTATCCTCGATCTGCCGTCTTGACTAGTCAAACTTATGTCGATTCATTATATTATTCAATTGTATAAACTGGGTGATTACGAAGTCGCAGATAGTACATTCTCATTGCCTTCCTCTTTCCCATCCTCTTTCTCTTTCCCATCCTCTTTCTCTTTCCCTTTCCCTTTCCCTTTCCCTTTCCCTTTCTTTTCCGCTCTTTCTCGTCTTCTAGCTATTATTTTCGATCTCTCGACTTTCTTAATATAGTCCTTATTCTCTCGTCGAGCTTGTGAAATTTCCATTTGAAGTCGCTTAGTTCTTGCTGCCTTTTCGTATGCTACATTAATTGAATAGGCATATGGGAATTATTCCGGTCAGTTTACAAGAAACGGCAAGTATCAAATTTTGAAACCTACCTATCTGCCCGGTCAAATGATCCCATTTAAATCCTGGTAAGTATTTGATATTCCACAAGTCATCATGATAATAAAAACGTTTCTTCCCGCCTTTAGTTAAGTAACATAAGTTTTAGATCAAATTTCCAGATTCCCACCAAGTTCAAGTACCAACTTACCAATTGGTTTAGCATTCAACATATTCGCTACAACTTTCGCAACCTTTTTGTCCAAAAACTCCACCCAGCCTTCAGTGTAATTCTTCTTCCCATTTCCGCCAAACTTTTTTCGCCTTTGTCGAACCTTTTGATCTTGAAAGAGATCGAACATTAGCCTTATGTTACAATGTCGAAAGCTGCTCGCACACGTCTAACAATACGTGATTCATACCTTCAGGTGCCAGGTATATCCTTCCTATCTCTCCGTAAGCTTGTAACAGGTAACGCACTTTTTGAGGTTTCATGAAAGGCGGTATTCGAGATAAATATACGACTCCAGTCTTTCTCTGTTCTTCTTGAAACTTGGCTAATTTTTTCTCAGTTATGGGTTTGAGAGTCTTTTGAATCGAAGGACCGACATTTGTCGGATCGACTTGTTCGCTCTCAGTACTGGCAGACATTTTTAATCTATCGCTATAGAAAAAGGATCTGACAGATCTTTTTGATCGGTTACATCACTCACGTGGCTAATTTAGTCAGTAAATATCAGCTCAAGGTTATTGCTACTATGTTTATCAAAATAGATTATGGAGAATGTTTAGTTGAGATGGTTCCAAGAAAAAGCTGAATTTAATTTTTTTTATGTTGCTTCGACATTAAAGAAACCACTACTTTGATCTGTACTTGTAATCGTTAAACGATGAGAATAATAGCCATGAGCTTTTCGCTATCCTGACGCAATTGCAAGTAAATGATTTAAGTTTTCATAAACAGTATCCGATATAGATTAATGTAATCGATATTGCAAGTCATCCGCAGAACGTAAATGTAACATGTTCAGTCTCGACAAATCGTTTTCTAGTGAAAACCAAATAAAGAGCGCTTAGAATAAATTCAATAAAGTCGTGTTTAGCCCTTAACCACTGTCAAGTTTAACCAGTTTCCAAGTGCAAGGTGAATTTAATTATAACAAGTAAATTTTGACTATTATAATTATTATCATATGAATATTAATACAACTAGAGTTATCCCTGAAACAATTTTTTAAAAAAAAAACCATTTTATTTCGCAACAAAAACAATCAAAGTGGTTATTTTGAAATACGGAATCTGGCCCGACTTTGACGATGTCTAAATAGAAAAAGATCGTTTCCTCTTAACTTCCCTGAGTTTGAGCTTGCAGTTAGGCGTGTTACTAGCGTCGAATCATTTTGGGTATGCGTAATTATGAATAAGCGCAATTTAGATGGGTAAATTATTAAAATCTTTTTCAAAGAAGCGCCTTCCTTTTACTATTACAAAGGCACCCGACGCACAGTTATCAGATAGACATTTTGTCGAGAAAGAGAATAAAGGATGCTACGATTTGAAGAATAGTTACGAAACAGTATGACATAGCTTAGTATTAGGCAGTTATTGTGTATTAATATTAATAAGAACATTTCAGATTGGCTTGCAATTTCGTATTAATATAATGTTGCACAAATAATTATGATCTTGACATGGACTTTCTTCTTGATAACAATATGATAACAGCAATTTTAATGATAAATAACCTTATGCACCTTGTTAAGCTTTATTATGCTACAGTTATAGATTGTGAACAAAATGTTTAATCAAAGAGATATGTTTGTTCAAAGTTGTATGCTTTTTTATCTTTGTGAACATATTCTTTTAAAACTTACATAATAAAATTTCATCCCTCACCATTAATTAATAAAAACTCTTATTTTCCAAAACCCACATTAGCACTGATAATAATAAGAGTTCAGTGCTAGTACCACCAAAGTTAACTTCCATTGTTTGATGGGAATTTCTCTTACAGGAATGTTAACCTCATCAACTGTTAAGATCATTCAAACAAGGCAGAGTAAATGAGACCATATTGAAAAAACAGTTTGATGGCAGAGATCGTAGTATACTTCAAGCATTCGTCAGGCTTTGGTTATTTGGGTACCATTAATTGAATTGGATCTGAATAAATAAAATTCATTAAAAAAAAACCAGGGCTGCCTGCTGCTGAATTAAATATAAATCAATCATAAAATGAGTGGTTGTGACAACAGGTGGGCTTGTGGCAGAATATTAAATATTTCTGTATGGCTGGAACTCCCCTCACAATTGGGGGGTCCCAGAAGACCTCTGATACTGGGATATTAATTTGGTAAGCAGGAAGGCCTGTACTAGTGCAAGTGGTACTAGTATTGATTCCATTCAAAAGAGTTCCAAAATCCCACTATTATATTTACAAAAAAGAACTAAGCTTCTGACTTTGGTCACAAGGAATACTAGCAAACAAATCAAACTTACTGTTTGCATGAACACTCCTTGTATGGTTGGTACTGGTGTATTCATAACTTTGCCTAAATATTAAAAATTTTGCTATTATTATTATTATAAAATGTTAAACAGGTAACAAGACTATTCATGCATGAGGGTTTGCCTAACAATCACATTAATGTCAATAAAGTACACTCACAACAGTATGATACACATCAAACTCAATGTCTACGGGAGGAATTAGCCGATCTGGACGTGGAGGCGGACAACGTATAACTCTGATGCCTGGTAACAGGACGCGTGGCAAAAGTAGGTGCTTGAACGTACACTTTATTTGGGCCAATACAAAGATCCGGTGCAATTTTTATCATCTTTCTGAAGGCTGGATGATAATGAACTGTGGAAAGATATAAAATACAGCAAACTGTGATAATCAAACACGAAACGAAACTAAAAAAGCTTACGTCGTTGATTTCTATTGGCCTGGTGGAAGAAATGTGACAGCCGCATAACCACATCTTCGTGCGCTCTTGAAGCCATGTCAACGATGATATTTTCGCTGACACTCTTGAGCCAATCTGTAAAGGCAAGCTATAATCCGTACAAAAATCAAAATCAATGCTCGATTATCTTAGGGTCAACCTGCGTGATGCCTACTACCTGATTGCCTTCCGAGAAAATATACTGATCAAACATTGGGGTAACTGAAAAGGATGGTGAAAGATACGTAAGATAGGTAATTATTGCAAGGAACTTTATTCACAACAAGGTGCTCGCTAAAGCCCAGTTTAAGCTGTTTTTATTTATCTACATACATACATGCAGAAAGCCCAAGATGGATTTATTGGGGGAGGTATTAGTATCTGTTTTTAGATACGTAAAGATAACTTTATCATCGAAGCACGTGATTAATCAACACTCCCCTGATTACTACTATTAGCAACGTAACCCTCCCCCCACAAACAGTTTGTTACATGATAACACACGTAAATTTTTTTATTAAAAGTCTTCGTTCTCCTTGTTGAAAAGATATGGTACGTGAAATAGTATCGATAATCTATATATTGGAGACACTAAATCATAAGCAATGAATGATGTTAATCTTGTAGATTGATTTATATGAACAGAACCAATTGTTATCTTTGTAACCGCCACTAAATCCAAACTATCTCCCTTATACTTACTCCTTGTCAAGCTCCTCTAACTCTACCTCTAAACTTGGCAAGCTGAAATCTGATAAGGGAGGTAATCGATGAGAACTATTTCTTGGTTTAGGCAGATTTCCAGTAGGTAAGAGCGTACTAGAATATTTACTCTCCTTCTCGAGATGTGATAAGGGTTTTACATCATTATGATAAACGGCATTCCACATGTTGTCATCAGAATTGTCCTTGTCAATCTCTTTAACAAGCTCGTTAATATTATTCCAAAGTGTCTCTGCATCTGGACGCTTATCAGGATCAGCATCACAACACCGCTCGGCAAGTTTCTTGTATTCCTC